GCCATATTCAGTCCTGTGCATCCTGACCTGACCTGACCTGACCCGATCCCCGACTCGACACGTGGTCCGTAGACGCAAGAACCTGGACTATTATACTGGCTAAAGCCGCAAGTCCTGTGAACTGTCCTGTCCTGTCCTGCAGCTTTATTAGCCTGTAGCCACTATCTGTCCTGTGCGACCTGACCTGATCTGACCTGATTGACTGAGGTGTCGCGCTCCCCGGGTCAAGGACAGTAATGAGGCGGCATGGTCAAAGATCGTCTTGCCGAGTTGCAATCGGTTAGTTGGTTAATTCGTTTGACGCGCTTCGTAGAAAGCAAATGTGAAAGGCGATAAGGCAAAAGTCGCCAAGGCAGATGGGTCTATCGATTCCGGTTTTCTGGACGAGGTAAATAATAATGCAATCAATTTACTTCCTAAGGTCTCTCATCTGCTGCAAATCATTGCAGAGCTACGTGAGCACGTAAATGAGGTTGAAATCGTACAAAGGGATATTCTCGCTTCTCCACAACAAGATTCTCGTATGTCGTATAATTTTCGATGAATCTAAAACTGCTCCTTAGAGCTTGATGATCGCCTCATTCAGTTAACGCGAACTATCAGACAAAAAGCCTATGATGTACGAACCGCGCTTAAAGGTGCTTCAACTCGCTCCTTAACTTACTTTTAAGGCTTTGAAGAAGAAGTTAATGACAAAGCGCCGCTGCTTACTTCAACAAAAGATAGAGTTAAAGCCATGCAGGTATTCGTTTGGTTAAACACTCATGGTCGTAGCACGCTTCTGTCACACGTCAATTTGTTTCTGTAATGAATACATACAATGAAATTCAGCTTCAGTATCGAGAAAAATGCAAAGACCGCATACGTCGAAAGCTCAACGTCGGTAAGTTGTCAAATACTGTGTTATTCCCGCAGCCGGTTATTCTTTCTCAGAACAGGAATTAGAAGATATGCTCGAAAAGAAAAACCCTGAGATATTCACTCAGGCTGTAAGTTACTTCAGTGATAATTCGCCATGAATTCGCATTTTGTTAATTTCGGTTGCTGTACCTAATCAACAGTGCACATCCATTCATCATCCACATGCACATGGATGCTTGTTCAGTTCAGTTTTCACATAACGGAAGTGATGGACTCCAATCGTGCGTCCAGGTCATTCCGTTGTCACCGATTTATTTCGGCTTTCAACTCTGCGCGTAATTTTTCCAATTTGGTCTTGTTCTGAAGGCCAGAATCTTAAGCAGTAGTGCATTGGTCTCCATACAATTTTGATTTGTGAACGACTGGTCTTATTCGACCATTTGATGTCTACAGCGACTGATACACGGCATAGACGCCGCAATTTTCCTTCAAAATGTGTATTTACTTCAATTCAAGCTGTACTTTAATATTTTTACGCAACTATTTGCAGGAAAATACGTCAGCTCCATAGGTGTCGTCGATCACTACTGCACAAGCGCGGCGGCTTTTGAAGCCAGCTCCACTGCCGAACTCTACACTCTGCCTAAAAGCCCTACCCTCTGCGTCGTTCTGTGGCGTTTCACGTTTTGAGCTGTCTGCCAAGGTGACCACGCCGACCAGTACAAGAATTACCGCTTAGTTGTATTGGGTCAGCTACATCTCAGGTCGCCGCATGATATGATCCTTTGCAATCCGCAGCCTCGGAGAAGGATGGGTAGTTTGTCAATACCGTTGGCATCTCCGTACTCTTCGGTACGCTAAAGTGCCATTCAGTTTTGAAGATTGGATGTTTTCAGTTTCCCCAACTATTACCCATGCATATTCGTGCGTTGGTTTTTGGTTGCTGTCTTTAGGCTAACCATTCGGAGGATTTGCTAGTATTGGTTGGATGCTTCCAAATTCCTGATATCTTCGGTCATCAAAAACCAGGTTTCGCGATTGGATCAATACAGAGGAGATAGCAGCACGTTGAGCACGAAGTTTAGGGCGGAGCCTGGTTTAGCTGTATGCCTACGGTATCCACGGCAGCTGCAGGGAAACTTGACATTGCCAATCCATAGCAATACTTCATTCGTTTGAC